CCATTTGCCCATTTTGATCAGCAAATGATGCTGGGCAGTTTAGATTAGAATCATCATGTTCATTTACGCTCATAAGGAAGTTATGCAATGCCACAACATCTTTAGTTATGGCAATCACATTATCAACTTTGGCAACTATAGGCCTATGAAACATGCGAAACTGACTGACACATATACCAAAAGCATTTTCAATGACACGTCTGCCTCTGCTTAGACTGAAATTGAAAATTAGCTTCCTCACAGACAGGTTTGAAAAAGGATAGGGCTTCATCATGTGGCGTTTTAGGCCAAATTCATCATCCCCTACAAATACGTGGGGTAGTACTTTTGTTGAATGGGTAATCTCGCCATCTGTGGGCATGTTGAGAAGCTTGTTTTCAATAGCATAGCCAAGATTGCTGTTGGAAACACGCTGCCATCACTTCGCCGCCTACTATCACTAATATCAACTAGGGTGAATTATCAATTTGCATCACAAACTCCCAACAAAACAATGCTATGAGTCTTTTTGTAATTAAAAAAACTTGATGCCTGTTCAGCAGGAGCAAACATATGCACATGCTTTCCATCAATTGCTCCCAGCATATTAGGAGGAAAGCTCCTATTAGGAAGCTCCATCGATCTACAAAATCTTTAGATACTTTCCTCGAATCACTTTCAGTGCAAGGTGTTTTCATTAACCCCAATTCCTTTAGTTTGTCCCAAAGTGCGTTGCATGTTTCGTAGATAATTTGACCAACAGTCGTTGAGCTCATTCTATACATGACAGCGATAGTTGTATGAGCATCCTCAGAATTGGATATCCTCATGTGATACTGATTTAGATCCACCAGAATCGGATTCAAATTCATTTGAATCAGATTCGGCATATTCACCTGATCAATCTCATTCTGATTCACCAAATCCATCACATTTTGATTTATCAGCTCTATCTTATGATTCATATTTGAAAGTAACTTCCCTAATCCACACAATTCTCATCCATTGGACTCGAATTCAAGTAATTTCAATACAGCTCTTCCTTCTCATCCATCTATATTACATGATAATACATCCACATGATTTGGGATTACTTCATCTACCAGATTCTGATTTCGCAACTTTATATTCCATAAATGATCACAATGACAATGATGAACATCCACAGTATTTGCAGGTAAAAAGTGGAAATGACGCAGAACCAAATGCAAGGGTAAATGATTGCATTGAGCTTGAGGGAGACGATGTTGATCAAGTTATTGAAATCAATTCACTTCTGTCTATTAAAGAAATTGCAGAGCAGGATGATATTGATAGAGGTGTTGGGATAAACCCACTCCTTCCTATCAAAGAAAGTGAGGAAGAACATGATTTTGAACAAGGTGTTGGGATAAACCCACTCCTCTCTATCGAAGAAAGTGAGGAAGAGCAAGATTTTGAACAAGTTGTTGCCACAAACCCCCTTCTTCCAATCCAAGAAAGCGAGGAACAGCAAGATTTTGAACAAGTTTTTGCCGTAAACTCACCACTCTCAATCCAGGAAAGCAAGGAACAACATGATTTTGAGCAAGGTGTTATCTTAAACCATTTTCTCCCAATCTAAGAAAGCGTGAAACAGCATGATTTTGAACAAGATGTTGCCATAAACCCACTCCTCCCAATCCATGAAAGTGAGGAACAGCATGATTTTGAACAATATGTTCCCATAAACCCACTCTTCCCAATCCAAGAAAGTAAGGAACAGCATGATTTTTAACAAGATGTTGTCATAAACCCACTCCTCCCAATCCAAGAAAATGAGAAACAGCATGATTTCGAGCAAGATGTTGCCATAAACCCACTCCTCCCAATCCAAGAACGTAAGGAACAGCATGATTTTGAACAAGATGTTGCCATAAACCCACTCCTCCCAATCCAAGAAAGTAAGGAACAGCATGATTTTGTACAAGATCTTGCCATAAACCCACTCCTCCCAATCAAAGAAAGTAAGGAACAGCATGATTTTGAACAAGGTGTTGCCATAAACCCACTCCTCCAAATCCAGGAAAGTGAGGAGCTGTAAAATTATTACATTGATGAGACGAAAAATGATTTAGAAGAATTGTATATGGTGGTGAAATTTTTGACGCATATACTTCAATGATTCGTACAAACGTAGGCTAAACATTTTTTGTCATTTGTGCCTGATTCTATAACGCTCATTCAAAAAAGTACTTGCATGATTGATTCTGATGTATTCTGCAAGTTTTATAATATTACGATAATAACTAATCGTTCATTGCATGAATTATGATAATTAAATTTTATAATAATTTTTTCAAAAACTTATGTTATGACCTTAAATCTTATGTTTATTGATGCTTTATATGACTAATTGTGATTATATCAATGTTTTAAGAAAATGCAATCTACATATGATGGTTTCTTTATCTTTTTCGCGTAGGTATTTTTACATGCGTATGTAAAATTATTTGTCAGCCCCAGGAAGCTAACCCAAACTTATCTAATTCATGTATAAAATGATGCATATGTAATAACGACCACACAAATATTTGCAAAGCTCGACTAAACTCCGTCTGCCATTCCCGCTTTGTGTAGCGTAAGAAAATCAACAAAAATTATAATAAAACACTTATATTTAGAACAAATGCCCATAGCTTGAGTAAGAACTTTCCTCGCACGAGTTAATAATAAAACTCATGACAATTGGAGTTTTATCTCACATTCATTTATTTTTGATGCATCGGTTGATGTAAAGTTCAACGTTTGATACTGACCTAACAACGCACTCCAGTCACTCCTTCATGAAGAAAGCTTGTTCAATTGGAGAGAGAAGAGATACCCCTGTGTGTTAAATAGCACAAGAGTATACAATATTTGAAAGGACGCTGAATTTTACCCAATTCAATACTTGAAAATAGAAGAAGTGATGTTATGCGCCCCTCCCCCCCGACCCTCCAGCTCCCCCGCGGTATCTTAGATACAGACCAAAAAACCGCTTGTTCACATCTTAAAATACATAATTTGTGAAAACGTTTCACTTTCTGCTGCTTTAAACTTGTTACATTTAGACTTTTGAAATTTTACCATAATTTATCAAAAGGTCATGGGACTTTTCAAGAACTCTTAATAAAAATAATTTTTATTCTACAACTTATTCGTTACTAACATAGTTTCTAGACCGTTTGGTTTGATTACTTCGTAAAAAGTGGCCACCATTTTTTCTTCATAAAATTTGGTCAGTCAAGAGAGCGAATGTTGTGTTACGTACTTTCACCTTGGTCTAAAGAAGTAAACTTTTTCTCAAGAGTCAAGACAACAAAACATACTTTCTCAAGATTAAAAAAATTTTCGCGCTTTAGCGTGCTGTCAAGTGAGAATTATGAGATACCAAGGCCTGCTTCATACGTCGCATTTTACATGCGCCGAATGCATTAGAGGCAAAAGAAAATGAGATAAAATTCCTCATTATCTTTTAAATGTTTTGGCTCATGTAAAATCTGACGTATGAAACAAGCCCAATTCTCGTCTACATTTTTAATTTTATGCTTAGAATTTACGCCAATAGTTCACTCACCAATTTAGTAAATTACTTTCGAACGACTTAAAATTATAGCATTCAAATCAAAATTCAAAAATATTGTTTTTGGCTTCCAAAGCCGAAACACATGGCACATGCTGTACACGACGACGTAAAAACTTTGCATGACGTTTATAAAATGGATGAATAAATCGATAAACCTTTACTAAATGTTTCAATAGAAACACCTGGATCTACTGTTTAAACACAGGACAGTAAGACTTCACGAAAAACAAAGCCATAAACTACATCCAGTCTCAAAACCCTAAACAAACATCCATTATTGTGATTAATATTGAACAACATCACTATATTCAGTATATTGCTAACCGCGAACGAAATTTCTGGCTGTTGCTTTCTTTTAGAAGCGGAAATACATTATAATTCTTTTCACATGTGAATATCACTAAATTTGCTTTCAAAATACATCCAAAGCGCGTAAGATGTGATTCATACACAAAACAACTTGAAATGGTTCGGCTATGAGCTATGCTTGTATAATTCAACGCTATTACGCAAGTTTGGTTTTTCCAAACAACACATCGTATTGGTACATGTTTGCAGAGTCAAGATGACTACTGCTGAGGGTGTCGAAATGTCAGTCAACAACAACAAAAACAGTCCTTCACAGGACTATACCATCCTGGACGACCTACATTTACAAACATGTAACGATTCTCCCGAGTTGAAACCATTTACTTTACATCGTATCGAAATGCTAAAATATTTTCGCTACATAAGATATTCAAAAGAATATATTTTAGAGAAAGTTCATGAATCATCCAAACCTGTAGAAGAAGTCAAAGGTACACGAAAATCTGCCTGGGTTTGCCTTCGATGATTGCTTGTTAGTTGTTCGTCCATATTTCAAAGCAGTCAAATACTTTGGTGAAATGCGTCGTCAGATCTTAATGTAACTCACGACAATGACATAACGATACTTAGAATGTTAGAAGAAAATAATAGAACAGCAAGTTCTTTGTGTTAGAAAAAACTATATTCTAGTACAAAGTCTAAAGCTACTGGGCCATTTGGCAAAGCCAAAGCGAGGAGAAAAAAAAATAAAGCCCCTGAGGCCGACGCTATATTGACATATTTTTACCACACATTAATCGCCCCCACGCATGTCATTAATGATGTCACGTGTCATTTTACTATAACATCCCTCCCTCAGACCCTCACGAAGGTTTACAATGCTCTACGAAGTTATGATACATGATATTTTTCTTTCCAATGGAAATTTTTAGTTCAAGAAATATATGCTCTAGATGATTAGATGAGCAAATGATCTGAGCAGGCAAAATCACGAGAAAACTTTGAAAATTCAGATCTCTAGACGGCTGAAAATAGTCATTTTATAGATAACTTTTTTAAAGTCATTATATTACTTGCTCTACGAAAACAGCAACATCTTAGAAATTTTTTTCCAAAACAATTTAAACAAGAATTAAAAGCCCAAAGGACCAAGGTGTTGATTACATAAGAAAGTTATCAAGGCTAGGAGAAGCAGAATGTGATTAATATATACGATGAATCCCCGATCTACTGTGCTTAGAAACAAAAAGAGGGAAAAAAATATCGTTGAATACAACCAATTTACACACTGTCCATTGGCCAATATGTTAAGCATACTTACGAATAAAGCTATTGTACAGTTACAATGCTTGGTTATTGAATTTGTTACTTTTTGAATACTTAATGAACTTCTCGGCTAACCTTTACAATTCCAATAACTTATTGACAACAAAAAACTCATTTGGTTACAACAGATAGGGTGCCTCTCCTTATTTGACTAGAAATTATTCGATACAAAAAATATCAAGTTGTTTTTCCCCATAATATCTCTAACCTGTGTGTACTTTCCTATTAATGACATTGACATTATATTGGACGTGGCGATATTTGAGCCTTAATTAACTTACTTAAGTAAGTCTAAATTTTACTATGGACAAATGATAAAAATTTTCTATTTATGTTCTAATTTACTCTGTCTATTTCATAACAGGCGCGTAGCAAACTCGTTGATGAAGAAGGGGGAAGGGTTCAAATTTATGAATGCATGTCTTAATCTATAGAAAAGAATGGATTTTAAAAAGAATTTAATTCTGCAGAACATGCATGTATGAATACGTTCTCCCCCAATTATTGAGTTTGCTATACAATTTCAATGGTTGTATAAAGATAAATTGTATTTCGACATGCCATAACAAATTGCAGTCATCAAAGTTCTAGAGGAACCGACATAAACTCAAGATGACAGTCCATATTCTGCCTGCTGTCCTCAAAGAGATTGATGACCTCAAGAACTTTTAATTCAAGTTCATTTAGTTCATCTTGATTTGTTTCCTGAAGTGAATTGGCATCATCAACTTGATTGCATTCCTCTGTCAGAAATTATAGAAATTAGTAAAAAGGATTTTTATTTGCTTGAAAATGTAGTCGAGAACGGTATGTAGTGAGAGACAGCCAATCTATTGGCTCGTGAAAGTCATAGTGGAATACATCGTAAACAAGTTTAAAGAAAAATGACAGAATCAAGCACAACCAGATTTGTCAAATGGATCACTTTAGGGCAGGCCCTGTGAACTGTGAGTAGGGCTGTCCGTAGAAAGTTGAGAGGGGGGGGGGCTTATTCACATATCTAGTTGCCTCCAACTGATTTCTTTTGAAAGCAATTTACTGAAAGTGCCAATGCAACGAAAATTTTGTAAGTTAAATTATGTTTGCAATGACTAGAACCTTTGAAATTACAGTGTACTTTCTAAAACAGTAAATGTATATTCTCGTGATTTTGACGTTTTTGTTATGTCCAATTTATCTAACTTGTGACGTCATACTGCATAACAAGTTCCCACCATGTTTCAAATACTCTTCAGTTTCCTGACAACTTCAGGTTGATACTAGTAGGCAGCATTTTATACCATTAACCCCGTCACAGTGAAAGGAACTCTGTCGTTGTGAAGTAAAGAGTCAGTAAATAAACCTAATAATTTTAGTTCTCATTATGCAATGTGACGTCACAAGTTAGATATATCGGACATAGCAAGAACCTAAATATCTCATGAATTAAAAGTGATATGCATAAACCGCTTTAGAATGTCCATTGTCATTTTAAATTATCTCTTCAATGAAAGTATTACTCAGACAAGAAAATTTTCGTTTCACAAGCACTTTAAGAAATCAAACAACTCGCTTTCAAAAAAATCAGTCAGGCACAATTGAATATATGAACAACACGCCCTCCAAAACCAATCAACGTTTATCAGGTGGCCGTAACTGTTAGATGTATGTGCGGGGGTATCAAAAAAATAGTCAGTGACTAAAAACTTTGCTAAATTGATCAGCGCGCAATATTTGCAAAAATTTTAAGGGGAAATAGGCAGTTGGACTTCCAATGGTTCATCTGATACTTAGGAATGTGTTACAGAAACGTGCTTTTGAAGTAGCTCACGCACAAAAATGACAAAGCTAAAGCAATTGAAACACGTATCAACGTTTACCAGGTGGCCGTAACTGTTAGATGTAAGTGCGGGGGTATCAAAAAAATAGTCAGTGACGAAAAACTTTGCTAAATATTTGCAAAAATTTTAAGTAGAAATAGGCAGTTGGACTTCCAATGGTTCATTTGATAGTTAAGTAAAACTGTTTCAAATAATAACCTTTTTAGAGGGAGGAATGTGTTACAGAGAAGTGCTTTTGAAGTAGCTCACACACAAAAATGACAAAGCTAAAAGCAATTGAAACACATGGGATTAAAATATGTCACACTGTTCCAGCAAATGAAGCTTCAGGGAATTAGGTATATGCGCAGACGAACAATTCCAAATCACAGATTATTTTATTTTCGTTTTTGAATACCTTTTTAGCTCTCTTCAATTATGTATAAATTTCAGTTTCCAAAAAACCTGAATCATTATATACAGAAAAATTAATGATGATTTATGTAAAATGTCATATAAACGAAAAAACCCAAATTAATCTACGATTCGGAAGACGAACGTTCGCGTAAGAATCGTCCAAATGTACAGAAACTTTATTAGTTTGAACAACATAAGCCATATTTTAACCTTATGCATTCCAATTGCAATCTATTGGTGTCATTTTTGGCGCAAGCTATTTCAAAATAGTTTCTCGGTTACAAATTTTACTCTAACAACGACTTGATTTACGAAAATTTAACTTTAATAATGTAAATGGTTTCAACCCAGGTGTATCGTTACATGTTTTTAGATGTAGATCGTCATGGTTAGTAGTCCTGAGAAAGTCAACTTGAATTCAAAGGTGACCACTGCTAAGATTGTCGAAACGTCAGTCAACAACAACAAAAACAGTCCTTCTCATGACTCTACTAACCTGGACGATCTACATCTACAAACATGTGAAAATTTGACATTAGATAAATCATTGGAAGTCAAACTACTTATTTCCAGCAAAGGTTTATGCTGGAAATAAGTAGTTGTACGCTGATCGATTTAGCAACATTCTCTCAACTGTGTTATTTTTCAATTTCCCCCAATACTTTGGGGTAACCATTACCTCCGTAGGATTTCTAGCACTTCAACAGGGCAGCATATTGATATTTACTGTCTTGATTAAGAGACAAATCGTTCGTTTGTAGGGCCGTACTGCCACTGCAGAATTTCAATAAAATATGAATTTCAACAATCGCTTGCAACTAAAAATACGTCAAACATGTCAAATACACCGTAAATATGAGTGGACAACAATTAATAAGAACTTATAAAATTTCAATGTTGCCAGTGAGGTGCCAGGTGTAAATCAAATTCTAAATTTAAAGATAAGATCCCAACAGATCGGGTTTGAGAAAGCCATTGGCATTTGACTTTTTCAGTATTTACTTAAAAAAGCAAGCGACGTTTCGTCTTGACTCAAGACATCTTAGACAAATTACATAGACTTACTACGATGCTCAAAAGTTTCTGTTTATTACTTTTACTTTGCTGTGTTCCCTTTTACAGGAAGCAATTATCTATAACTCCCTTGTTTTTCATCAGATCTTAAAAACTCTTAAATTGGTCTTTGGAATAGTTGGGACGAGGGGGAAGAGAAAGCACGTTCCCTCAGCTCTTTTCATGGTAAATTTCCCTCAATTACTCATCCCCCCTTATATCTTGTACAATCTTTCTTACATTTCCTTACAATACTCAATATCAGCTTTACACTGTAAGTACACATCCACACAAACCTCACACATTAACTATCTCAGTAATTACATCTCATTTGAAGATGTCTTGAGTCGAGAGAAAACGATAATCGTCGAGTGCTTTGTTTTAATGAATATCAAAGAAATCGAACGCTTATGGTTATCTTTGAAACGAGCTGTTGGACTCTAACCTTGAGGTTTATAATTCAATAAAAATTCTTTAATATTTCAAACATATTACCATGTTCAGTACATAAAACACTGTTTAATTCTTGTTGATCAACGTTATCAACGTCGTCGTCGGCGCTCATGATTCACTGTATAAAGAAAAAAAAGTCAAACTAGATGAATTTGTCAATTTTGACTTCAAAATATCATTTAATTTCAATAAACATCGACTATAAATCATCTAGAGTTGCAACTACGTCATAAGTACCGTGCTTATAGCCATGCATTAAAGTCAATAACGAGCATAATTTCTGTTCAACGAGAATGATCATGACGAAGTAAGAGATTGCAAACTATACAATATCACATGTGCAAATGCGTCATTATGTCGTAACAAAACCCCATCATTCTTTGCGGACGCAGACGTGGTGCATAATAAAAGTGAAAGCCGTTAAAGAGAGTTGCCTTTTGTCATTTCTCAAATAAATATGTTGGTTGATGACTCTAAGCAATAAAATAACATGCAGTCTACTCCTGTCGACACCTTAAGAATAAAATTGAATTTCAACAGATAAATTTTCACAAACTCTTTCGATTTTTGAAATAGAATTTGCCAACAACCATCATGCATAGCGCGCGTTTGTTCATTTCAAATCAAAACAACTGTAGAATCACATATATCAACTATTGTTACTTAAAAAACGAATATCAAAAATTCATCAAACATTGCAGTGATTAGTACAACGAAACATGTAACAATAAATTCAAATTTGGGAAGTGTTATGTCCCAACATTTCTAGGAGCGAATGTTTATTAAATGATTTTTATCTACTGTCGAAGACTCGAAGATATTTAGATCTTGTGGAAGCTGCTTTTAGTTAATCTCTTAATCACAAGCAGTAACTAACGGTGATTTACATTGACTAGTCTTTGGGATCGCATGTAATTTTGCATTTTTTACAATCATTCATACAATTTATCAAACTTTTAGCAACATATAGATAGCGAATATTCACGGAAATAATCTTAACAAAATGTGACAAACTGGAATTCGAATTCAGAATTTCGTTCCCATGAACTTTACTTATGTCACTGAAATTCAAACATCAAATACTTAATACATGATATTTACCTTTTGATGAAAATGCTTTGCGCATTTTTATCGAAATTTTCCTAAGGCGTCTTCTCCAATGAATACAATGACTAGAAAATGAAAGTATTGATCTCAGGAAGAATGTCATTTGATCTCTGCGTGACTAGAAATACTATATGATTAAATATCATGTGTATAAGCTCACGCTAGTTAACCTAATTTCTTTCAATAATTGACGAAAATTAATCAATTTGATAAAAGAATTTTTGGTTTAACAAGAATTATTCCACAATATACAGCATAAGACTTTGGTAGAGAAATTTTTTATTTCACAGTAAATGCTACACACAAGAAAATACTGGAAAGTAAAAGTGCTAATTAAATAGTCAATTGGTAAAGAAGTGACGACAATAAAAGTGTAGAATCTACACTTTCAACTTTCTTTAACATCTTTGACCAGACCCTAAAATCTACACTGTAGATTTAGGGAAGTCTGGTCCAAAGATGTTAAAGAAAGTTGAAACATTCCCAGAAAAACTTAAAGTTCAACTGTACAACTGATTTGTTTATAAAACGGGGAAGTCTGGTAGTGCAGCCACCAAAGATGTTAAAGAAAGTTGAAACATTTCCCAGAAAAACTTAAAGTTCAACTGTACAACTGATTTGTTTATAAAACGTAGGGGAGGTCTGGTAGTGCAGCCACCAAAGATGTTAAAGAAAGTTGAAACATTTCCCAGAAAAACTTAAAGTTCAACTGTACAACTGATTTGTTTATTAAACGTAGGGGAGGTCTGGTAGTGCAGCCACCAAAGATATTAAAGAAAGTTGAAATATTGCCCAGAAAAACTCAGTTCAACTGTACTACAGATTTGTTTCGCTAAAAATTCAGAATATTCACTGTCTTTGCCATAAGATTCAGCAGTCTTTAGTTCATTTGTTTCATTTTAAACTTCTTGAGTAAAGAAATTTTGTCCTAAAGAGTTTCCAGCAAGAGAAACATGTACTAAAGCACAATATTTATACATGTGAAAGACAATAAAAATGTAATTTCTCAAGACAGTGATAATGTGACAAATATTGTATTCATTTGATTTACTAGTTAGAGCAATAATTAGCAATTGGGAATAATAATATGAAGTTTTGACAAACCATAGAGGAAGATGTGGCACTGGATTTATTTTTGGCAGTCTTTCTTAAATGAATTATCTTAAATGAAATTTTTTTATTACTTTGTGGGTGCTTGGTTTATTGTAATATAGTTGTTTTATGTCAGGGACTTAGGAACTGAAACACTTTTCTCTACAACTGAAAGATCTTGATGTATAACAATTTAAATATGAATGAATTATGTAAGAAAGTGACTTGTTTGAAAACATCTGTTTGGAGCATACATTTTTTCATACAGTGGTTAGTTTTGGTAATTGTGTGGCAATGTCCCTAAAATTCAAAATATAAATACTATTTAAGTGACCTTCACTGAACAGTCCACATATACTAAGTAGACATGGTCACCTTTTCTAAGATTCAAATTTGACTTTTCATAGTTCAAAACTGTACTAAATGGTCGGGTGAATTAAAAACCCAACACATATAACAATTAGGCATTTAAAATAAATGACAACTTTTTTATTATAAACATCAACTTACATTAAGTGAGCTTCAGGAGACTGGAAAAACGAAACATGTTTTTCATAAAAAAATTTGTGATTTATTTTAAATCCATAATTACTCTGTTGCTTTTGAGATCATACGTACATACATATAACAATTTATAAAACCAACACATACAGTGTTTTGTGAAGAAGCAAAAAATACCATGTTCCAACAGATATTTCAGAATGCAAGATTAGTATAAGATGTTGTGTGACTGGTAACTTTATAATAAGTCTGAAAGTATTTCAAAGTTTTGAAAAATATAATTGTATTGGTCATTAATTTGATTAAATCCAAACTGAGGTTGTTGCTTTTGTTTAAATATTTTGCTGCCATTATATTCAAAGATGTTTTGTCTCATTTAACACATAAACAAATGCAGCGTTGATAAATTAAAATTTAAAATAAAATGAATAAAAAAAAACAAATGTGTTGCCTTTTAGGTCCTTCTCAACTAAACCCCAATAACAATGACAACATTCTACAGCATAATTCAAAAAATGTTAAAAATTACTGTTTCATTTATGACCAAATATAAAATAAAATGCACTCGCCAGATAATTTTGTTCAAAATCTATATTATAAATCATTAAAAAACTTTACTTACCACTGTACGTTTTACAGACATTAATGACGATGTGTTTACGGAATCATGAAGCATGCGACGTTTGAAAATTGCATCGCTCGCGCGCACATTCTGACGATTTCTTTTCTCTTTCATTTCATAAATTTCATACACCCATATAATTTTTCAGAGCTCATACAACCAAACAACCACATAAACGACGACAAAAATACAAGATTAATGAAGAAAAGTTAAATCACGTTTTGTACGACTACTTCCGCTTGCATGAGCACCAAGACTATTTCTTTGTAAGGGGGGAGGGGGGGGTAGGTGATATGTTGGAAATGTTTAGGGCTGATGATATTCTTCATCAGTTGATGGTTGCATGGGAAAAGAGGGAAATTTATCGATGTGTATTTTCTGCTAATAACTCATACAATACAGATCCTATAACAAAAGAAAAGGTATAGTCATTTTTTAACCTCATGGTTTGCCACAGACCAGAGGTACTAGGGGTTCTTTATTTGAAAGTTGGAGCTACAGTTGATGAAATTAATAGAAAAGATTTGTTTAGTTTGTAACACGCTCCCCATTAATTTATCTCATTTCCTCATTATTCTTATAGCTAATCCAAATTTATATCTCTCATTGTTACTGTATCATAATACTTTTATAAACCCTGTATTTATTTATTTATTCACCTGAAGATGGCATCATGAGATATCGAAACATGTCTATTTTCAAAAAACTCGTCGTCTATATTAAATGCTAAACAAAGCAGCTGGCATCATAGTCTGCAAATTCACTATAGCGGCGATTGAAATTGTTGATCGTCTTGCTTTTGTCTTGGCAATACCATGCAAAATGATTCAGCTTTAAGCATTTAGTCTTGCATTTCCCTCGCAAGATTATTCCATTAGTCTTGCATTTCCCTCGCTTGTGAGTGTAAGAATAAAATTTACAGTCCTTTAGTAGGGATTTATAATAACTGAATGATTCTCTGCCAATGTTTTTCTTTTTGTTTCTCGTGAATTTTCTCTTCCGTATACTGTCAATATATTCTTTGCCTTTTAATTTCCTTTTGAAGTTTCTTCGTATGTCTCTTCGTTTTCTCAACAGCATGTCCATTTGTACAGTTTTCTGTAGTGTTGATTCTGGTTCTCTAAGTAGACGTTCACGAACACGGTTATCATTAAGACCACATATTATGTCACAGATGAGATCATCGCAAATATATAACAAAACACTTAATGTACTCTCCCCCGGGAAATAGTGAGCCTAATTTTCCGAGAGTCCCAATATAGGTTTGGTATAGTGCACAAATGTGAAAATTATTTAAGACACTATATATAGATCAACACACATATATTGCGACAATTTTGTAGAAAACATATTTATACAACAATTATTTCCTACATTAACATACTAATATCATAAAACTATGTTAGCATGTGTTAAAAAACAAACTTCAAAAAACACTGAGCAAAAAGAAAGTTTCTCTCTAAATAACTTTTTATGAGTGCTAAATGAATGAATCCCAACCAGTCTTTAAAATGGCAACTGCAATTGTTCTTTCTTGATAAAATGTAGGTATTTTTCAAATTTTTTTACAAGATGACAGTTACCAACAAATAATGTTGCTGAATGTGAGTAAAAATTATTCTACAACTACTGAACGCTAATTTTAAAAATTGGCATTTTTGAATTCAAGATACAACATCTCCTTTTCTAAAGCACCAGTAATCTTCACATGGCAGTTGGCAAATTACTATTAGACTAAAAAATGGTGTTGAGTTATGTGGTATTCATTTATTTAGCATTTAAATTTTAAAAAGCAAAAAAAAATGTAGAAACGTAAAGAAAAAGTGCAGTAATGAAAAGTCTGCATACAGTCAAGCTACTCGTAAACGGACATCCTTTAGACTACGATCCAATGTCTGCTTACGGTAGATTTCCGTTGGTAGGATGTTATGAAAGATATCTATTCACTATAGGTAGATATGTACACAACAAAATGAAATTAATTTAATGATCTAAAATTGTTCACTACATAAAAAATAAAACACAGTGGATTTAGAAATATGACATCTTGAAAAAGAAAGACGTTGAAATTTTTCCATATTTTTCAATCTCATAACTTGATGTAGTTCTTAGATGTTGAAGTTATTTTTGTTGTGAATGACTTGTTGACCATTTATATGAACTAAACTGATCACTTTTATTCTACAACCATCCATAGTTGATGTCTGCTTTGAATTTTCATGACATGTTGCTGTTATGATCTTAATTCATATCACACAGGTTATAGTATCATTCAGTACATATATATTTCAGAGCATGCGCAAAGGCAATCGAGTGTCATAATATTTACAATGTCAGTGTGTTTCTATCAAGAAGCAGCTTCAACTATAGATGCAGCAGAAATATCCCTTTAGCCATCTCCAATAGCCACAATGTAGTAAAATCAAATTCTTTTTATTCACTCTCATGATTACTTATGCGTTATGTTCACATCGAAACTTCCATATGAGATGATAATTTTCACGCTTCAGTTTTATAAAAAGTGAACAAAGTGAACAGCCAGTTTCACCATTTTAAAAATGTAAAAGTTCATATTGTCATTTCTTTCATTACGTCACTTCCTGAAATGAAGCTTTTCCTTCCTGTATTATCGTTTGACTTAAGAGTACACGATGGAATTTTATCGACAAGCTATAAACATATTAAACTTTGGCAAAGTAACTTGCCACTGATGTCCACTGATGTCCACTGATGTCCACTAATGTCCACTGATGTTTGAGTTGATGTCGTTAAAAAACAATTTCCATAAAATATTGATTTTTAAAGTAGAACTGTTCAAACGTTAACAATCTCTGACATCTATTTTTCATTAAAAGTTAAAAACTTGTTATTAAACATCCTTCAATATACGACATTGTCCTTTGTTTTATGTCTCTCCATATTGCAAAACTTTTTTCACTTTTGTTAACTTTTCCTGTTCATACGGTTTAAAGTGTTCAGTCACAATGGTTACATTGTTTATAAGGATGATTAACGTCAATCATAAGTCACTTTCTTGTGGAGTTACGATTTACTTTTTAACAGTCAGTGAGAAAGACAGCCAATTTTTAGTTTTTCTTGAAAATATTAGCAAAGGTACCATTGTTTTATTATAAATTTACGTTTTTCAAATTGATTAAGATGAAATTATTCATATAACGGAAGTAACAATTGGGCTGTCTTTGTCTCTCTTAACAACTTAACACATAGATATTTTGTATGTCAAAATGCAATAATTAAAAAGTATTAAGAATTTATATCAGTACAAGATAGTATTGATTTAATTAGTAACAACTTGTTTTTGGTGTAAAAAAGTATCGAAAAACGTGCAATATTAAAACCATCCTACACTGAATACATTTGCATGAAAATTATGTGTTTACATGGTGTAGATATAAACAAAATATAACCTATGGTACAATAACTAACAAAAGTTTGCATTTTATATGTTTGTGTGATAAGATAAAAGTCAATAAAATTATTTTCTTGCGTCAGGAAAATTATTATCTTAGACACGAAATCATTTGTGTTTATGGTTTGTCTTTATTGTCATTGAATTTTAATTTTTAATTGATTAACTTATACATGATCTCTCTCAATGTTGACATTATCGTACACTGCGGTCTCTGTACAGAACAATCAAAATTAGACAAAGGTCGTTTCATGAAAACATACGCAAACAGACATTAATTGAAATGTCAACAATGATAGGGATCATGCATAAAAATTGAACAAGATTTTTTTAAAGATAATATGGTCAATATCTAAAATGGCGAGAAATTTTACCATCAAAGATCAAATTTATTCTCGTGGCAAGATGATTTTTACGCATTGTTCCGGGACCTTAAATGAAGAAAAAATTAAAGCAAGCTTGCGTTTACGACAGTAATAAAAAGTGCTGTGAAATATCAACTGCGGGAAAAATAATTCTACATTCCTAAAATATTTCAAATCAATCAATTTCAATTTATTACTAATTATATACCTATCATCAACAAAGAAATACTTTGGGGCCAATATTTCATTAAAACTATAAATAATTTGTATGTCTTTAACATCAAATACTTTCACATACCAATCCATGTCCCCTATTAATAATTTATCTGCTGAAGGTGAAAAAGCAGCGTAATTCATATAGCCACCAATACCATTTTCCATGAGTTTAACGGCGAAAAAATTAGCGGTTTCCCACTGAATTATGTCATCCCAACCAATAACTTGTTTGTTTTCATGCCACATACAGTAAATTATCTGACCTTTAAATTCAACTTTAGTAAACACGTGATACTTAGAGCTACATGCAAATACGTGCACATTTCGATAATTTTCAAAATTCACTAATATTTCTTTTTGCTTGTTTTCAACATTGAAAAACACAAAATAATCAGATTTTTGACAAGCAAATAATACATCACTCACCTCAAAAATTTTGTTTGTACCTTTTAGTTCATCGAAACTATAAACAAGTTTTGTCAAATCATCATTCCAAAGCTCAGGAGTATTTTTTTCCGTAAGCAAAATAACTCCATTTTCTACAGAAACCATGTCACTAACAAAACATTCCTTGACAACAAAGTCAAATGTGCTGAGATTGTATAAAATTACACTTGAATTTTCTACATTGCTCCGATACAGAAATTTTTCATTTGAGCAAAATTTCTCGTTATAAAAACTGTAACTGTTAGTTAAACATGCACGTGCTATTGAATAAAGATAAAAGCCAATTCCGTATTCAAACAAAAGAGCATTGTCGTTATTTAAAATAACAGATAACATTTCAGAACCCTTAAAGGAAAACCGTAATCTGTCATTGAAAGGATTAAGAGGAAAAATTTTCTCACCAGTGGGATTTACAAATAAAGGTTCACTCAGGAAGAAAGGATGCCTACAACAATACCAAGAATGAAGACCAACAGTTAACAAATCAGAACAATCACTTGAAAAAACAAACGGTAAATGAACGTCGTAAACGAATGTTTCATAATTATTTGCTACATCAAATATTTGAACCACTTTTTTTTCCACAATAACACACAAATATCTTCCAGAATTAGAAAAACACAGTGAGGTCACATTATTACATCTAATACTGCGTTTCTTCTCACCTTTCTCAACGTCCCATACTGTCAAAGTATCTTTGTAACTAGTGACCATTGTGTACTTATCCTTAGAAAAACATTTGTTGGTAAAGAACTTAGAAGTAGAATCATCACAATGGAACGGACTGGAGGAAATTTTACCATTAATATCTAATATCTTATCAAGCTGGGAAGCAAAAATCAAATCTTCGAATGGATGAAAGACAACGCAAAAGACTTTCTCTTCATATTCCTTAAGCTGACAAGTAATATTTTTTATCCATAAACATCTGTTTATTCTCATTGAAAAAAGTTGCACGACGAACCCAAGATAACCACAGACGACGTAATCATGATTTCGTGAAACATTAACAGAGATCAAATTTTGATTTAAACGTAACAATCGAGCCTTAACAAAATCCGAGTCTCTCCACTCTAGATATGGTGAATCTTTGAAACGCGTTTGAAGCATTGTGGTGGCTTGAGACGACAGATATTTCACGTCGTTGGCAACGTTTTGCAAAAAATTTACTTCATTGTCAAAGCAATTAGAGTACGTCATTACAGAATAGACTTCATTAAATAACAATCGAATGTCTTCAGCTAAAAGAAAGTACACATCATGTAAGTTGAATAAAAAAAAATTTTCAAAAGTCCGACGACCATCAACCAACACAGAAGCAACTAAAACTTCTAAGTCAACAAGATATTTACCAACATTTTCAACGATATAATCATTATCAGAAATATCAAGTAAATGAAGCAACCAATACTTGACTGAATACCTCACTGACGCATCTTTGATGATGTCATAGTTTACACCTTCAGCTTTGAGGTTATCCAAAGATTTTAAACAAAATTCTAAAACAAGTCGATGACCGCAAGAAGTTTTTACTGAGTAATCATGTTCTCGATCATCCAACAACCAATCATTTAAGGATTTGTGAAAAAACGAAACACATCCTTCTTCATTGCTAACAAACAGACAAGAGATAGTCTTTCTAGCCCCAAGTGATATGCGATTCGAATTCAAACAAAGAACATCATCGATCATTTTCCAAGGAAGAGGTTCTTTAGCAACAGCCAGAGCATTTAAAATTAACTGAAACTTTTCGTTACTGATATCAAACGAATCTAATTCCTTACTTAATCTTGTTAAGCAAATTTCGTAATATTCACTGAGATCTTTTGGTATAGAACCTTTCAACAAATCCTGATTTTTGACTTCGCTGCTAAGAAGCGATGCAAGCAACATAAGTCCGTCAGCTTTTTCTGCCAAACTGTTTATAATGTCAGGAAGGCTGTCAGTAGAGCAAACTCTATCTTCAATCAATAATTTAATATCCTTTAAATTGCGATCATCGCTACAATTAATGAACAGTGGATTTAATTTTTCGAACTTACTCAAAGCAACTTCGTTAGGTCTGGTTGTAATTACAAAGCGAAAACAAGGCGGAAGTTTGTGTAAGTGATTAGCAAGTAAATAAGCAAGGTCATCTCTTTCTGGATAACCACATTCATCAAGAGCGTCAAGCACAACTAACATTCGCTTGGGAACTTCTGAGATATTATAAAACAACTCGGTGAAAAGAAGGGAAAATAATCCTTCAACATTCATGTTATTCAAAGGCTCAGAGAGTTGACCTGAAAGTTTTTTCACAAGAAGTTTTTTGTAAGCAGGAAAATTACGACTAATTTGCAACGCTAAAGATTGAAGAAGTACATTGGCTTTATTGTAACGACTGTTGTTGTGTTGAAAGAAATGAACTGCAGTCGAGTAATGAGGATAACGTTTACATAAAGTAGCTGCAATTACAGATTTACCCATACCAGCAACAGCAGAAATAACAAATGCACGATTTTGAGAAGTATCGTCTTCAAACCAATCCAAAAACTCTTTGAAAACCCATTCACGTGTTCCAGTTAAGTATTTTTCATAATGATGCTTAATTTCACTTTCAAAGTTACAGCTAACAAGGTTTTTTGTCAAAACATCTTCTTCTGAAACAGAAGTAAGTCCATGTCCACAAGCTTTGATTCCTTTAATATCATCTCCTACTAATGCTAATTTATCTATCACTTTCACAACATTCGCACCGACATCCTCTAAGGTATTCTTCATTTCTTTGTGATCTGATTTTAAAACTTCTAAATCACTCTTTAATTCATCCCATTCTCTCAAAATCCTTTTATATTTTTCATTACCATACGACTCACTCGTTATTCTATCTATTTCCTCCTGACTTATTCCTAAACGAACTATTGGTTCGCTTATTTTTACCCAAAAATCTTCAAATTCAACAAAGTTTACTGAAGTGTTAGATAAGTGAGCAAAACGATCATTACGAAATAACCTGATACGGGTAATATCTGCTTCAGTTGAATAATCAGTGGGGTCATTTACTGACGTCCATATTGGATCACGAGGTGGTTTTAAACCACAAATATTACGCAGGAGAATACAAAGTAAAGTAATGTCAAACTTATTTTCATTTGGTAATATTGGAGGATCTGGATACAGTAGATCCCATTGATGTTGCTGGATTTGTCTATTCTTTAGACTTGAAAGGAGTTGTGCATTTTCGGGATCATTTAAAGCATAAAATAAATCAGTACCTGACAGTTGTTTCCTCAATGTTATTCTTAAAGCTTCTCCACCAACATCAACAATTAATCTCATCAACTTAAAACCATTAGTTGTCATGTCTGAGCGCAAGACAGACATAATGTTGCTTCCTGCAGAAAAAAAGTAGGTAAGACTTCCATGGTACAAATTTATTGTGATTATAACGGAAAACCTGCGGCCGTTTACAAGAAGGCAGAATTGTTTTATCCATTCGATGGCAAATTGTTTTGAACTTTTACAAAATCTCTTAAGAGAGAATAATATGTGATTTGAAACAAAATATTGCTTCCAAGATTACAGAATTTCTTTCTCCTAAGGAAAATAAAAACACCTTTTCCTACAAGTTTGAAAATTTTACTATCCGACGAATAGTTCTATCCAGGCTTCGTGCAACCGTCTATGAAAAATTTGGTCAAATCAACAAGCTTTTATGGCATCTTTAATTTGTGCATTTTTGGCCCAACGCCGTCGTTTTCTATAATACAAAAGGAACTGGCACTAGAAGGTATTTTGACGTCATCCAATATGGTCAGCATTCGGGCATATTTAGCTTATATTAAACATATACGTTCTTCACGCTGTTTAATTATATGTCTTAAGAAGGAAGCGATGAATCAAAATCAGACTTGAGTGTTCAGTCAGATAATTCTGACAAAAACTTTATTCCGTGATACGTGACAGAAAGTGGGAAAGCAATGAAACTTGAGCGATAATGATTCGGATTTTGACTCCAAAGCATGGATGATCGAAAAGACAAAAATTCTAATCGCATCTTTTTTAAGCCCTGGAAAATTAGCGTTCTTTTGATTCGGCAAACTACTAAATTGACGCTCCAAATCCTCTGGTTTTAATCGAGCCGAACAAAGTGTTGAAGCACTGGAAGGCTCAAATACGCGCTTTGCTTTAAAACCCAGATATTCCGTCTTCGCTTGGCCTCGGGTATTTTATCATTATAAAGCATAGTGTGAAGACTCATACCAGAGCAAAGGTTTGACTCATTCGTAAATTGGCTGCAACGCAACTATTTACCTTTTTTCTGCTTTTACTAGTGCAAAGGCAATGCTTTTAGGCGCTTATAGACTTAAGTTGTGCCTCAGCCAGCATTGACTTGATAGCAATTGAATACACGACTCGTGTAACACGAGTATCGTGAATGACGTCAATATCACGGACATGGTTCACAAAAGTATACAATTTTAGTGAATTTAACGCTTTTACAAAATCAAACGATTTCCCAAATTCAAAATTTTTTTCTCAACGAGGCTTAAAATCATCGACAAATTTGATATAGCTAAAAAAATTCATTTTGGTGGAAGGGGCATTTTAAGACTCACAAGGTAAAATGCCTATTATTTTCACAGTAAAAGAATATAAAAACGTACATAGAAGGACTAAACATTTTATCAGTCTGGCTACACCACTGAAAATTTTATTCTGTAAAAATTCATAACCATTATCATTGTTTAGAAGGTATTATGATAAAAAAAAAAAAATGAGCAGGTGTAATTTATTTGGACTAATACTTTATACGACTTAGGAGCTAAGGAGGACATGAGGCACAGTTACAGGAACATATAGTATAATTTTATAGAGAACATACAGTAGATTGCATTGAATATTTTTATGCCATACATAACATATTCCACAAGTGATTACCATAGTGGCAGTCAGACACTACCATTTTTTGACCAATAGGTACACTGAGCTGGCAAACTACACCCAGTAATATAATTATATATACAGCAATAAGTTGCACAGAAAGTGATCCTACTGTATATTCTCTATACTGTGGTTGGGGTGACATAAACATTTGGATGTAATGATCCCTAGACAACAATGGTTTTCAAAGGAACTTAACACATGTAGCCTATATTAGGCAAACATAATATGATCTCCAAATTAACAATCATCCTACAGTCCTGCCACAGTTTTTCTTGTTAAAAAAGGGAGTGCGTCAAGAAGTCAACAAAAGTGATGAAAGCAATAAAAATGGTCAACAAAACATTGTAATAAGAAAACAAATGAAAAATTGGTGGGCATAATTTTTATGAGAGTTGATCCAAAATTGTGTAAAAGATGTAAGAATCTGTACGCTTATGACCAAAACCATTTTTCATTGGTTAGATTACTATTCTAAAAAAAATAGGCAAACTACATGAAATAGCTAGCAACTGAAGAATAAAAACATATCATATACATAAATTAATATAAGCCACAACCCAACAATTATTGATCTTCCTGTACATGAATGAATCCAAGTAAATAGATAAATCTTGTAACAAAAATAAATTTAGCTACTACACATTGTCCACAATCATTGATCAGTTATAAAAGATGAAGAACACATATAAAATATTGACTTTAGTAAGTTATTTCAGTAGGAAATCAACACATATCAACAAACAAGTTTTATCATATCAAAAGTTCAAAAAATGTTGATGTACGTAACTAAGTGATGAAAACCCTCTACAACGATCATTTTAAGATTAAACGATGACAAAAATAACTTTCGAACAAGAACAAATCTTGTTAAACACAGTGATTTAATGTTCTGCTTCACTTATATTCATTTCGTGTACAAAGTTTGAAATCTAACTTGAATATCTCGTTTATGTTTGTTGTATTTTATAGTTTGACAATAACCATGTTTAAATGCTTATCAAAAATAACAAAGCAAACTAGTTTTAAGGTCGAATCATACCTACATTAGTCAAAGTCTTACGTAAATTTTAAATGAAAAACTGTCTTTGTTCTACTTAGATAGATACGTAAATTAAAATTAATTCGAGTCGCCATCTAAGGATGCAAAATCTTTATCTTACCGTTTTATTAGATGGAAGGAATGTTTCTTGATATCATGATCATATATCGTCAGAAAAATATCGCCAACTTTTAACATTGACGTGGATGATATTTGATAACATAAAGAATTTAAATATTTCTCACAGCAGGCTGCAGCTTCCTTATTCATGTGCAATGTGTTACGCGCGTGATCTCGCGTGACTTCCACGTATGTATGGTCAAAGGTCATATACTTTGGGCAACTCTCAACACAATATGACCAACCGTTAACTCAAACACTTTCACCAAACCGTTCATTAGAATGTCTCATATGTAAATAATAAAACATCAAAAAATAGGACGCAATAATAACGAATGACGTTACTACATTTTTACAATGCATATAAAAAACGAGAATGTTTTTTGGGTTTGTCATAGCAAATGTTTTTCAATACCTGTCCTAGGCCTTTCAAAACCTATGCTAGGTTTTTTGATATCTATGTCACACGTTAGTGCTAATTAGCAGGCCGTCATGAATATTAGTGTAATTTTAAAATGAGAATCTGAAAATTTTTATTGTCAATTGTTTCACGGTCTTGTCAATTCCTTGGAGAAGATGGTAAAATTCATTTTATTTCATGGAAATTATGAAAAAACACATGAAAGTGGGATGACCACCTTTAAGATCATAGCTATAAATGGTGTAATGTTTAGAATTTTTCTTCTTCCTTTAGTATCTATCTATTGTGCTCTCTCTCTAATATCTGTCTGTCAACAACATTTCTCATTCCTATATATATACATGTCATTGTCACTTTTAAGAGGCGTGTCTACAACACTACATCCCTCCTCAACTTAAAGGATAACAAAGTCAGGGTTTATTGAGTTCCCATATTGTTCTGTTATTTTTCTTTGTCGGGTTGATCTCCTTGGAGCTGGCTCTTCTGGTTCTGGTTCTATGATGTGTTCTGGTTCTTCACATTCTGGTACGCATTGGTTGTGTCTGTACGGCTGTTCGTGGATGTTGTATTCATCTTCATCAGTTGATTCTCTCGACTTGTCTCTTATCTTTTTTAAAGAACGATGTGTTTCTGGTTATTTGATGGTTATGGTTCTCAGCGACTACTTTAGCTCCTCTACGATAAATCACTGTGTATGGTGTTTGCACAAATTTTGTTGTGAATTTATCTTTCTTCCTTTGTTTTAAGAGCACTTTGTCTCCCACCCTGATATCTGATTCTTTAGTTCTTCTTTTGTTTGCCAATTCTCTTCCTTTCGATTTCGCTTCAAAATTATTCGCCTGCGCCTCTTTATGTCTATTTAGCACTTTGTCCTTGGGGTTTAGCATTGGTAGGATACCTCTCAATGGTCGGTTAAATAGTAGTTGAGCTGGTGGGACATTGGTTGAACAATGAGGCGTAGTGCGATAGCTGAGTAAGAATCTTGAAAGTTCTTGTGTCCAATTGCGATGTTCCGCACGGGCTGTTTTGATCGCTTTAGCTAAAGGCTTCATGAATGCCTCGGCCTCTGAGTTTCCTTGCGGCCACTCCGGGATTGATGTCTCGTGCTTCACCCCAAGTTTATGTAGATATTTGGAGAATTCCTTACTGTTGAACGGTGGACCGTTGTCAGATTTGAACTTTAATGGGATTCCATGCCTTGCAAAAATAGCATCTATTTTAGGGATCAGTGCTTTGGCGGAGGTACTTGAGATTATTTCGGCTTCTGGGTATCGCGAATACTTATCGATCAGCACGATGATATATTGTCCAGTAGGGAGCGGACCATAGAAGTCAGCATGGATGGTTTGCCAAGGGCACTCTGGCATTTCTGGACTTGCTAATGGTTCTGGTGGGCTGGTTGACCCATTTACTTGACATGGTAGACAGGCTTCAATTTCATCCTTGACGGCCTTGTCCATATTAGGGAACCAGGCGTATTGGCGTAACAAAGCTTTAGTTTTGGCTATTCCTTGGTGGCCTTCGTGGGCCAGCTTCACAACGCTTGTTTTTAGGGTTGTTGGAATGATAATCCGCGTTCCTCGTAGGAGTATGCCATTCGTGTTGTCCACAGATATTTCATCTTTGATGCTAAGAATGGTTTCACAGACTGATTGCTCCAATCACCCGACTCGACCGCTGTTCTTACCGCCTGAAGACTTATGTCTTTGGTCGTATGTTCTTTGATGACTTCAATTGATATGGCATTTTGAGCTGCATTTGTCGTGACAAACGTGATGTATTCTTCGGCGATGTTGCGTTTGGGAGTCTGTAATTGTGGGTGTCTGGATAAGAAGTCTGCAGGGTTCGTGTCACCTGGTCTGTAAATGACTTGAAAATTGTATTGTTGAAGTCTCAATAACCATCGCTCAATCCTGGCGGGAGGTCTGGACCGAGGATTATTATAGATAAGTTGTAATGGTTTGTGATCAGTGATCAGGGTGAACGATGCCCCAAATAGGTAGATGTGAAAGTGTTCGATACCCCACACGATAGCAAGGGCCTCCTTTTCAGTTTGCGAATATCGTTGTTCTACTGACGAAAGAGCCCGACTAGCATAGCAGATCACGTTATCGGCGTTTGTTTTAGGATCTCTTTGTGTTAATATGGCTGATAAGCCAACTGGGCTCGCATCAACTAATACCGACGTTTCTTTTGATGTATCAAAATGACTCATAACTGGACTGTTGGTTAGTGCATTTTTTAACTTGTCATAAGCTGCTTGGTGTTCCCACGTCCATCACACTTACGTGTTAGTTTTCGAAGGGTTCTGTAATGGTAGCATAATTTTGAATAAACTTAACGCTGTAATTTGCCATCCCCAGTAAGCTTCTCACTTCGCTGACCGTTGTGGGTATTGTAGTTTTAACGAAAGCTTCTACCTTTTTTTGGGTCCGGGCAGATCCCATGTTCTGAGAATAATAACCCAAAAAACTCAAGGTTCTTCTTCAGGAACTTGCACTTTTGGCAATTAAGTGTGAGATTGTGATCTTGTAATCGGGTAAGAACTTCATCCAGTGCACGGTCATGGTCTGCTCTATTACTTCCAAATACGATTATGTCGTCAGCAATGTTCTTGACCCCTTTAATTCCTAGCAATGTTTCCTGCAGTTTATGTTGAAATAATTCAGCTGCGGCATTAGTTCCATAGTTTAATCGCTTATAACGATAGAGACCATAATGAGTTGAGAATGTTGTGATGCTGTGGGATGCTGGACATAGCTCTAGTTGGTGGTATGCCTGAGCAAGATTAAGCTTTGAAAATATACGTGCTCCATTGAGTTCCATGGATGCAGCTTCCACAGTTGGTATTGGATGTCTGGTTCGTTTGATAGCCGTATTTGCTATCCGCATATCAACACACAATCGAATGTTACCATCACGCTTGGGAACAATCACCACCGGAGAGACCCAGTCAGTGGGCATGCCTTCAGGTATTTTCTCTATGATGTCATCGTTCTCTAATCTGTGTATTTCACTTTCCACTTTCAGGCGTAGGTGGAACGGTGTTCGTCGCTGTGGTTGTGCAACCGGGAGCACGGAGTCATCAATTGCTAGTCTAATTTGTTTATTTTTTAACTTCCCAAGTCCGTCAAAGACAGGTGCATGTTTGTCCAAAATGTGATGTAGCTTTGTATCCTTTGTTGTAAGTGTTGAGTTTTCTGGCGATGTGTTAATTTTGTTCAAGTTTATGCTTACAAGTCCAAGTTCTTGCGCTGTTTCCGAGCTGAGTAAACAGCCGCCATCGTCTGATGTCACATATATAGTAGCAACTGTGAACTTGTGTTTTGACTCCGCAAGAACACGAAACTTCCTTCCATCTTGACTGGCGTTTTTGAGTTAAACGGGTATGCTTTCACGGATGTGGGTTCAAGCTCAGTATTTCGAAATTTCCGGAAAGTCTTCTTGTCGATTATATTTATGCTTGAGCCAGTGTCAATTGTCATTCTGACATATAGTCCGTTGAGAGATATTGACGTTTCAGGACGTTTAGGCTTGTTGTTGTTACAAACCGCATAACAGTATTCCGAATTATTGTCGCTACTGCTATCTTTCTCCTCATCAGCCTTTACCGGTCGTATGTCTTGGCGTGGTTTAGCGGATGTTTTCATTTTCTGCGAGTTTCGGCTGCGACATTGGCTTGCAAAATGATTTAACTTCCCGCATTTGGCGCATGTTTTGTTCTTCGCTGGGCACGGTTTGTCTAAATGGGGGTAGTTACCTCCACAGTAAAAGCATATCTTCTGTGGTTTATCGGCTTGGGAGTTTTTATTTGTAGGTTTTTTTAGTGTATGTAAAACGTGGCTGTCCAAGTGCTCTTCGATGTCCGCCGCTTGTACTTTACTTGTTTCTTCACGCCTTGCTTCAAGCAACAGATCTTTTAAGGTATATTTAGGATCTCTTAATGCTTGTTTTCGTACACGACTGGATCGTCCACCAATAACAATTTGAACCATTATCTCAAAATCTACATCAGCAAATTCACAGTTTTTAGAAAATGAGCGCAGTCTTGTATGAAATTGGTCGATTATTTCGGACTCTACTTGCTTTGCTTGTCGAAATTTGTAAACTTCATATAACCGATTTTTCTGTGGTTCAAAATACTCCGTAAGAAGTATTCCCGCTTTAGCAAAATCATCATCTTCTCCCGGGTCTGGAAATTGTCGAAATATCTCTCGAATTCGGGGTCCTGCTTGATAATGAAGTAAAGCCCGTTGCCGAGTTCTATTTGTTATATTACTGGCTGTTAAAAATGTTTTAAAATCTGCCAACTACGTGCGCCATCTATTTGCAATTTTTCCTCCGATTTCTTCATCCGGATTGAAATGTGGCATGGGAGATAAAAATGTTGCCATGTTTGCGTTGATATTTTATTCCTCGTCGCCAATGTAATGTTTAGAATTTTTCTTCTTCCTTTAGTATCTATCTATTGTGCTCTCTCTCTAATATCTGTGTCAACAACATTTCTCATTCCTATATATATATACATGTCATTGTCACTTTTAAGGGGCGTGTCTACAACAAATGGGTACTGTAGCATCTGAATTGTGTCAGCTGTAGTCTGTGTATTCAATGTATTGATCAATTTTCAGTCACAAGCAAAACATTATAAATGTAAATTTTAATGTTTCATACGAGGGCAGATATTTGCGCAACTTTCAATTTAACTGTCCTATGTTCAAGATCAACTCATCATTGGGTGGAAAACTTCAGAATGTTAACATTATGCCAGCACTAACGAAAAGCGTAAGAGTAAAAGCGCAATTTTTTTGGATTAATGAACTTTCTACAATATTTGGAGTTTGTAGCAACTTCATTATACTATTGAAAGCCTTTACAGTTTACAGAAAATTAGTGCTTGGGCATTTAGGTATTTCTTAGCACTGATAACAAATCTCTAAAAAATAATAAAACATAAAATGAACGTTGATGCTAGGCACTCCCCGGATTGTTTACACTACTACTGACACCCCACAGGAAACTTTACACTAACTGACTCATTCGTCGACCTTTTTGTGCAATTAACCTTTTGAAATTTGAGCGAAAATCTTGAATGTCGATAGACTTTGTTAATTCCAGATGTAATGGTCTCGTGACTGCACATACATACACTACAATCCTTGCTTTTCCTTCAATATTTTTCCTTTTACGATACTTTATCGGGCCAGAGTAGTCCACAACAATTACTTGGAACGGTAAACGCCACTCAGTACGGTCTCTAGATAGATTTCCTGAGACAGGGCTTGGTTAGGGAACGGCTTGAAATTTTTTACATCCGTGACAACGCTTTATGACTCGTTTCACAATTTGTCTTAATCTTGGAACCCAGTAACTTTCACGTACCTTTGCCTATTGTTAAACTCTCGCCCATGAAGGGTGACATAGTGGGAATTTTGAACAATTTTTTTGATAACACATCACTTTTGGACAAGTAAATTCGGAAAATCCCCTTGGATTCATCCATTACACTTCACGCCTCTCCTGATCTTTACAAAATTTTGCAGTATACATGTCTAGACTTTGGATTTGGATTCGTTTTATCCACCAATATCTCCGATTGTTGATTTTCTTTGTTGTCAATGGACCACTCTTCTTTTGTCCTTGTTTTCTACTGTTCTGGACATCCATCTAATAAGGTTTTCCAGAGGTCGTATTTGTTCAGCAATTCGTCAAACTTGTCATGTAGCAGGGTTGCAGTTTTAAATATTTGTGTTACAGGTTTTGTTTCCGCCAGACGTTCGTCCGTTGCGTAGTTGTGATGTCCTCTAGCCAATATTCTTTCGTTGTCAACCACTTTAGACCCATTCACCACCGATCGTTTCCTTTACTCACTTTACCACCTCTGCTCGCTAGGTCTGCATAATTATCTTGTCCAAGCATGTGTCTCCACTGGATGTAGTAGTTCTTTTCCTGTATCTTCCTTACCAGACTCCCTATGAATTGCTTTAATCCTCACTTCCACCATTCCGTATCTAATGGAGTGCTACTGTTCTGTCCAGTAATGCAAAAACATTGCCCTTTGGGAATCCGTACAGCGCATCCTTAAAGTTATAAAAATGATTTGTTGCCATATGTGAAGATATAAGTTCTAAGCCTGATATTGTCAGGTCCTTCTTAGCAAGACGAGATTTGGCAGCCACCAGGTCCTTGCACGTACCACTCTCTTGATGGACAATGGCCATCACTATTGCCCCAACTCTATGACAGCTAGCATCAGCAAAGGTATGCAGCTCGATTTCTTGGATGATTTCCTGGAAACACACGATATTTAGTGGAAATTTACTAGATTGTGGAAAATATATTTCTCAGGATGACCATTAATCTTCGATTTGTTGTGGTAATTCCTCGTCCCACGATAACTTGGCATCACTGCAGTCTTGATGGTGGAGCTTGGCCAACAACGTGACGGAAGACATTAAACTCAGTGGGTCATAAATCTTTGCTGTCTTAGCTAACCCTTCACGCTAACCCTCCTCGAACTGCCGATACCTCGCAATGAACAACCTCTGTCATTCTACCTTTGTCACTTCCACCACCGAATGTATTAACTTCCAGCCATTCTCGCCTAGCAATGTTAAGCTTGGCACACCTCTTTGCGTCACACGTCACAAAGGATTTCTGACTTCCCGAGTCGAAAAGCACTCGCACTCTTGTCTTACCCTTTCCTATAAGTACTCCCTGCGCAGTTTGAAGAGCCACTCTACTTCTAGTACTAACATGGACATTAGCTACACTAACCTGTCCACTTTCTTCCCGACTATTTCTTTCAACTTTCTGATTATTATTACTCTTATCACATATAGAAACATGATGACCCTCCCCACATACGCTACATTTAGTACGTGCACGACAATCTTTAGATACATGTCCCTTATTTAAACAAATGAAACATCGTTTGAACTTACGAAGAAGTTGCATCCGTTCTTGCCGCCCCGTTACCTTGGTGCATTCTTCATGCTTGTGCTCTCCACAGCAGAAAGCACAAAACAATCGGTTGTTGCGGCTGGCGAACAACCCGCTAGCTGTTCCCAGTTCCCGTCGTCTTCTTCGTTGATCTTCTTCTTTCTCTCCGACCGCTAATTTGTGGCATTCCCGCAGCTCCACTTCGGCTTGTAATGCGTCGACAAAATCTTTCATGCCCCACTCTAAGTAGTCTCTTCCCTGGTAATTGTCAGTTTTAATGAGTTCGGTATCTTTGTTAGCAGATTGGGCACGACTATCTCGCAGTACGTTTCCTCCTTTACACCGAGCGCCTCGAGTCCTCGGTAATTTGTTTCGACCGCGTCGAAGAACTTGCGCAGCCTCGTCGTGTCACTCTCGTTGTACACGGGTTTTAAGTTCATCAAATCATTTGCGTGTGCCCTTTGCACCATCACTTTGCTCCCGTATCTCCGTTCTAACACCTTCAGTGCTTCTGTATAGTTAATCGAAGTCAGAGCAAATCCCGAAATTGCTGACTTGGCCGGCTCCTCCACCAGTCCCCTCAGATAGGTGAATTTGTCGACCTCAGACAGTCCGTCATTGTTGTGAATGGAACTTTCGAAAGAGTCCCAGAATTCACGCCAATCTTGTATCTTGCCCGAGAACTTTTTCACCTCTAGTTTAGGCAGCTTCACTCTACAGCGTGCCCCACTGGATACTGTACTTGTCGATGTGTTGGCGAGTTCCTCGTTTCGTTTGTTCGTCTCTATCGTGCTCAGCGCTTCGTTAATTTCGGCCAACGCACCCAGAACTTCGCAGCCGTATTCCGATGAGCTGTCGATATCTGCTGCAATATCGTCATCCTTTTCCAACAAGCTCTGAATCTCATCGTCTAACTTCGAAATTGTATCCAATTTCTGTACGAGTACAAGCCGCATTTGTTCCAGTTCGACTTTCCTTAATGGCGCATTGTCGTTTACCATACCTCGAACCTTGTTTACAACTTTTGTGGCGTACAATTTGTGCCCACTCCTCGACTGTCGCTTTCTTGTCAACTCAGACATCGTGAACAACCCTGTATTCTATTTCTGTGTTCTTCTTGAATTCTGCTACTCTATCCGGCTCGAAGGACCACGTTTCGCACAATCTGCGCGAAGTGCTGGTTCACTGTTCTAAAACTTCACACTAACGATGGGACTGTATTTTGAATATATAATTTTAACACTTCAATAAGATATTTACAGTGTTGTGCACGATTTTCCGTTTCAAGCGTTGGTTCTTCGCGATACGGAATGATTAAATTTGATCTCGTTAAGATTACGGACAACCGTCAATCCTAGAACTGCGTTTCGAAATTTATTGCCTTCTGCAATACAACTCTAATTCATCAAATTTGTATGACCAGTTCATACACCAACAACTACAACTTTTCCGAACTCCCGAACCAACGCTTGCAAGCTCTTATTTATATTATAATTATTAGGATATAATTTTTGGGCGTTTGCATGACTTGCACTACGCCATTCCGTTTATAGAGTACCGTCATTACCTATATCCTACCGCAATGCCACATTGGGTAGAAAAAGTGTTCCTAAGTATTTTGAATTTACGTACAGGATTTCCACTGAAACCACAGTTTAATAACTATATACGTATTTTCCTATTTGTCTAGTAATATATGACTTAACATTTTACATAAACATAATATCCGTTATATCTTAGTATCAAAAATATGACACAGTCACACTCTACATAACATAACATGACAATTTACAACAGTGTATGATTTGTTGACCATGAAATAAACTGATCACTTTTATTCTACAACCATCAATAGTTGACGCTTACTTTGAATTTTCATGACATGTTGCTGTTAAGATCTTAAATCATATGACAAATGTTACAGTATCATTCAAGTACTTATATATTTCAGAGCATGTGCAAAGGCAATCGAGTGTCATAATATTCACAATGACAGTGTGTTTTGACAACAGATGACAATTTTGACAACAGATGACATTTCAATGAACACGTGACCTGGGTGACATTACAAAGTACAACAACAAATTCACAGAGAACCATGGTACAAAAATTTGTCACTTCTTTCATTACGTCACTTCCTGAAACAAAGCTTCTCCTTCTTGTATTATCGTTTGAATTAAGAGTAGACGATGGAATTTTATAGACAAGCCATAAACATGTAAAACTTTGGCAAAGTAACTCGTAGTATGTCCACTGATGTTTCAGTTCATGTTGTAAAAAAATAATTCCCATTAAGTATCGATTCACAAAGTAAAAGTGTTCAAACTTTAACAATGCTTGATATCGATTTTGCATAAAAAGTTAAATACGTGTCATTAAGCACCCTTCCATATGCAACATTGTGGTTTCTTTTCTGTCTCTCTATAATGCAAAACTTTCTTTGAATTTTGTTAACTTTTTCTGTTCGTACAGTAACACACGGTTTGGAGTGTTCCATCTCAATGGTTAAATTGTTTATCACGATGATGAACGTCAATCATAAGTCATTTTCTTGTGGAGTTTACGATTTACTTTTTAACAGTCAGTGAGAAAGACAGCCAAATTTTTAGTTTTTCTAGAAAAAATTAGCAAAGGTACCATTGTTTTATTATAAATTTACGTTTTTCTAATTGATAAAGATGAAAATGTTCATATAAGCGAAGTAACAATTGGGCTGTCTTTGTCTCTCTTAACAACTTAACACATAGATATTTTGTACATCAAAATGCAATAAATAAAAACTATTAAGAAATTATTTCAGTGAAAGATAGTATTGATTTAATTAGTAACAACTTCTTTTTGGTGTAAACGAGTGTCGAAAAACGTGCAATGTTAAAACCATCCTACATTGAATACATTTGCATGAAAATTATATGTTTACATGGTGTAGATATAAACAAAATATAACCTACGGTACAATAACTAACAAAAGTTTGCATTTTTTATGTAGGTGTGATAAGATAAAAGTCAATAAAATTATTTTCTTGTGCAAGGAAAATTATTATCTTAGACACGAAATCATTTCTGTTTATGGCTTGCTTGTCTTTATTGTTATTGAATTTTCATCTTTAATTGATTAACTTTAGCTTTTATACATGATCTCTCTCAATGTTGACATTTTCGTACACTGCCGTCGCTGTACAGGAACAATCAAAATTAAACAAAGGTCGTTTCATGAAATCATACGCAAACAGACATTAATTGAAATGTCAACAATGATATATGCATAAAAACTGAACAAGATTTTCTTAAAGATAATATAGTCATTAGTAGATAAGGTGCAGCTTTGTCACACTTTTGTCACAGAGCTCTTACCCGTGCCAGTTAGTTTCCAGTCCCCTGAAGTTGATCGGTGCGCGCGCATGTCAACCGGAAATAGGGTTTAATAAACATGGCATGGCATTGGATGGCGTGAAAATCGGAAATACGACAAAGCTGGAAGTTGCATGCTATTGACAAAGTAACATTAGATCCGTTTCCTTTTCTCAATCGAAGGTAAAAACGGTAGAAAACGAGGTAATTGCATTTTATAGCTTATACTTTATCGAAAGGTTTACATTCTATCTCTTGAAACAAATGGAATTGAATGTAGACATTGATCTGGCATTAAGAATGAACAAATTGCTTTTGGAGTCCGAAAAGAATGAAATAACTGTACGTCAAAGTTTGTTAGAAAATAAACTTTTAGACTGCTATGCTGAAGAAACTGCTGCAATGATAAACGCTGAAGTAAATAAGAACTGCAATGGATGCATGATCGATTACCCCTCTCAGCGTGAGCATGACTGTCTCATGATGGAGCATGACGAGCGTATGTTGTTGCATTTTGATGATGCCTTGGAAAATGTGTCCGAAGAGATTGTGATCAAAGATTTTATGAAAAGCATTGAAGATGTCAAGCCACCCGTCAATGGACTTGAGATACTAAAATACACTTGTAACGATTGGCGTAAAGTATTTGTTTCGGATAAAAAGAACAAACTTGAAACACGAGTCGTTAAGCTTTTGTAAATATATATTTTTATTTATTCCCATTCGATTCGTAAGGTCTAACCATTACACATTGTTCTAAAAGAAATATAAGAAACATGTATGAATTTACTGCTTACATGTTAGCACTTCTGTATACATATACGTAAGCGATGTAATATTACATAGAAATAAACATTTTACGACAACTACAAACAAATTAAAACTTACTCGATAAGGTCTTTTATGAGACGATACATGCCCACACGAGGGTTTTACAAGATAATCATCACAGTGATCACATTTTTCTAAAAAATAAAATCGACGCCTCTGTTAAAGTTAATACAAACACCCTAAGGAACAGAAAAAAGACAAACGGTACTTACTGAAGGTTTAAAACGACGCTTATGGCGAGGACATCCTTCTTCGATTGCATGTTTGGATATTGCATCTCCACAAAGGCTCTCTGTTTCGTAAGTGGTTGAGATACACTACACATGCGCTTGAGATGTGACCTTCGTTGCCATCTCGCAAATGTAAATTATAAATTACCATTGAATAGTATGACCTTGAATAATGTGGCGTGGGTAAAATCTGTGCAGTATCCTAGCTTTTAATTCTGTCCTTCTTAGATTTACAAACATTATTTTTATTTTAGTATGCGTTTGTTTTACTGGTTGCTAGAGATTGTATTAGGAGAATTTAAACGAAGAAGTTAGGGCAATCAACTGATAAAAGTGCAACGAGCGTTTGATATTGATATTTCAGTAATTGATACCACAAGCCTATCTGCCTATAGTGGTTTAAATTTATTAACTTATGCATTCAAGATGCGATGTGGCACAACAATTTTAGTTGTTTGAGGCTTACAATAACCGGTTTACTGCTGAAAGTTGCGTATATAGGTAGAAGTGTAATTATTCAATTACTCTGTAGGAGTTCAATGAACATATATTATAAAATGAAGCATGATTTCACAAATTGCCATTACTGCATGAAAATCATCGCCAGATGATCATGGGGGAAAAAGAGTATCTAGAGCGTTTACGTGTTCGAGCCATCAGAAAAAATGTAAAGGCAAAACGTTTGCTGAAAAAAGTTCAGAAAGAAATCTCTAAAGATAAAACAGATATTTCAAAAGTGTTAAAATGGGTAAAAAAATCAACGAAGTTGTTGCAGCAAAGTGTTGAACTTGTGGAAGAAAGAAACAACATAAAAAATCAAACTAAAAATGATGAAAAATCTGTTAACTTTGTGCTTGAAAAAGTTTCGGAACGATATGTTCGTAAATTTGGCGCAAAGTCATGTATATTCCGTGCTAAGTTAGACGATCTATCCGTTCGCGATAAGCAAATAAAAGTCAAAGACATAATGACTGAGCTCGATGGCTTGTTTGACGACGCCATACGTCAGGTGAGAGTGAAAAAAGCGCTGTGTGACACAAAGCATCTTTTTAATTTTTATGTTAATGTTCCTAGGTAAAAGAACAGTGTGATTTTAGAACACCATTGGAAGATCGGCTTCGTGTAATGATTAGATCGGATGCTTTGAAAACACCAATCAGCACTAAGCTTCTTCCTGCCGCTGAAATTAACTCTAACAGAATTTTGAGTGAAATTACAAAAACTTTGCAGAGTAATGATAAGATTCCTTTGGACAACTCGTTTATCATCGACCTTATTGGTGTAAAAGCGCCGGTTGGGAGTGGTAAGGCCTTCAAAGTCTTAGATTACTCTAAAGACAGTACTTTAAAAAAATCGATTGTAACTATCAAGAATAATGATAGCCTATGTTGTGCTCGGGCTTTAGTTGTAGCCATAGGGATGGCTGACCACCATCCAAAATTAAAACAAATGAAGATGGGTAGACCTATACAAAAAAAATTAGCCTTAAAGTTGCATAAACGTGCCAATATTTTGCCTGGTAAATGTGGATTGAGGGAAATTTCAAAGTTTCAAGGTGTTCTTTCAGACTATCAAATTATTGTAATAGACTTTGATGCACGAAACACTTCAATTTATGAAGGGCCTAAAAGAGTAAAGAAGTTATTGCTATACAAACACGGAGATCATTTCAATGTTATCAATCCGGCAAAGCTCCCAGCTTTTTTCGGTAAAAGATTTTACTGTGAACATTGTTCAAGCTTTGTAGACAACTATATTCATCACGCTTGTTTTGATGTCTGCAGCAGTAGTATAGTACATGGGGGTACGAGAGCACATAAAGTGCTCTCATATCCCCCATGTACTATACTACATATAACCGTGGGTAAAATCTATCTTTATAACAGCGCAAAATAAGACCATGGTTCAAAAGGCGTCCCTCAGTAAAAGGTCATGTAAAAAAAGCTGCGTAAAAGTCATTGTTTCAAAGTAGTGTGAAAAAGGCCATGTTTCAAAGGCGTCCCTCAGTAAAAGGCCATGTAAAAAAGTCATTGTTTCAAAAGGGGGTAAAAATCTCGAGTTTACAATCTATCGTTTAAAAATATGGAATCTATATGTTTTTGAAATATATAGGTGCGTTTAAATTTTACAAACAGTCTTTACAAATATATGTTAATAAAGCATCGTTTCGGAGAGGGCTCGGCAGCGCAAATTTTAGCGTAGCTAAAATTGAGCAGGGGAATGGAGCCCTTGAGAATTCTGAGCGACGGCGGGGAAAATTTTCACGAAGTGAAAATTCGGAGCGGCCCCGTAGATTCGATGAATATTCGAAGAATATTCGAGAATAACAGAGGCTTAAGAAATGCTCTTCAAAAAACAGTCTTTAATAATCAATTGTTAACAAGGCCCTGCCAGGAGGCTGTCAAGCGCGTGTCTTAGTGCATGTTTCTAACAATGGTTGTTTAATGTAAACAGCACATTTCATCAGCGCATGTATAATAATACAATGTTTTACAAAATATGGAATCTATATGTTTTTTTTAATTTGTCTGTCAAGCGAGTGTCATATAATTTTTGTTAAAATTGTTTTTAATAATTGTTTCAGGATTTTGAATTCCTTTGTATATCGCTTTTGTATTAATTACTTATTACAAACAGTTATGTGATATGTAGTCAAACATGAGGAGCAGGTATGTATGATTTTACTCTAACAGAGGCCCACATTATAACTGTTTGTTAATATTTAGTTATTTGAATTGATAAGATAATGGCCATAAGCATAACTTTTACACCCATTAGCTAATATGTATCGTTTATCATCAAAACAACTGAGTGATACTTTATTAATTTCATAACTACTAAGTTGATGGTTTACACTTCTAATAGTTTTCATTGTATGATGTATTTGTTTCTTTTCAAATAGTGTTTTTTTGTAGTCTTCATGTTTTATTTCGTTTTTAATAATATTTTTCTTAATTCCTTTAGCTTTTTTATCTCCTTTATTATCATCTTTTATATAACTATACATCTTACTTCTTAAACCAACAAATTCTTTAACTACTATTCCAGCGGCTTCGTCTTTCATTTTACCAATAACCTTTTTATTAGTCTTATCATGATATTGTGAATTTTCTGGGTAATCACTAAAATCAAATTTATCTTTATCAACCCAAAAATCTTGATAGACATCTTCAGTTTCTATTTCATAACAGAGAGAATCGGTATCAGTGAATAATAATTTAGCTTTATCACCATACCGATTTTTAATATAGTTGTAATGAAAATCATACATCAACGTTTTACTCAAATCTAATATACACATGCCCACATATGCAGGTCTGTTAAGGGTTAGTGTTTCTTTGATCTTATGCACAGCTACTAAATTTTTATTAAAGATCTTTGAACTTACATAAGTAGGTTTTGAAGCCAATTTTAATAATTTATTTTTATTAGTTACTAGTCTAACATCTACTCTTTTTCGTAAGTTCTCCATTGTCTTACCAAAAACACTGTTATTCATGAGTTTGAAGAAGTCTTTTTCAAAAGAATTTTTTGCATTAGTTCTTTTTTGAGTGTTAAAGTCTATGTATTTTTTCAACCATGGAGATTGATTAAATTCAAGTACTCTATGTACTTTTTTTAATTTTAACCCGAGATCTAAGTATAGTTGAAGATTTCTATAATGCAGCACATACTTATCTTTATTTTTTAAAGTAGGTATTAATTTTGAAACTAAACCTGTTGATATATTGTAATTAGAAGCAATTGTCTTACAATATTTTGACAGCATGTTGCTAGTGACCTTAATTTTTTCGGGTGCTAGTGGATAATCGTTATGTAAAGTATGTAGTTCTTCAGGGTATTCTAAATCAACTTCTAAAATTAGACCTTTTTTATTATCTTCTTTATATGTGGCTAAATTTATGTTGTTAATCTGTTTATCAGTTAACCATTTGAAATCACCAGTAGGTAGGTATTGTGACATAGCCCATCCAAATAAATTGTTTGCATCAAGATACGTTATATATTTTGAGGGTTTATTCTTATCAAATGTTTCCATATACTTGTTATTAGCCTTACCATATCGGTTAGAAATGTAAGAAACACCTCCTCTCATACCCTTTTCGATGAATTGAAACATGTCAATATCAGTCATTAATTCTAATTTAATATCTGTCATCTTCAACATAGCATCCCAGCTTAATCCCGGACTCGTGAAATAATGACATGGGTCTAAGTTATAGTATTCAAGACATGTTTTTCGAAAGTTTTCAAATACATCAGCTAATAACAAAACGTCTGATTTTAAATACAAATCGTGGTAATCACCCATGTTTTTGAGATTGAATGTATTCCAAACATTTTGAGCATGCTTATAAGAATCATCTGATATATTCTCATTAGTAAGAATACTATAAAAGTCTTTTTTTGAAGGCAACCCCTCATCAAACTTTTCAAAACTATTCATATAATCATATGGGTATATACCCTTTTTAGTCATTAAATTAAGTTTTTCACCTTTAAACTGATTATAGGTGTATTTAAATGATTCTTTAGGTAGGTTATTAACAAGCTTATTAAGACTAGAACTCATAAATTGAAAACTATCAAGAAATGTGAGATGGTTACCTAGCATGAAAGCCATATATTTTTCCATGTTATTAGGTATACAATTTATATTCATTTCAATTTTCTCACCTTTTTTGTTTTTGTATGTATGCTTCTTAACAATAGCTCCGATTTCTTGCATAATAAAATGGCTATCATATCCCCGCAGATTGTGAAATATTACTGGGATTTTTAATTTATTATAGTCTATTCTAAGTTTTAAATTACAATCTTGATGAGCTGATCCTCTGTATTTTCCAGTGATATGACAATGGTCTCGAACTCTAATATCTTTGTTAGTATATTTTTTGTTACAGATATGACATTCATCAGCTTTTTTAAATTCTTCTTCATCATCAGAGGTCATTTTTAATGGTTTATTAAA